AATATGTTAAAAACATTTAGACAACTTCTTCTGAATAACCAAGAGGCCTAGAGTGATGATATTTAGCCAGTAACATGCTGGGATGAAGGGCTACCAAGTTTGTTCAAATAAATGACCTTGAATCATATTCAAGGTCACTGGGGTCGAATATGTTAAAAACATTTAGACAACTTCTTCTGAATAACCAAGAGGCCTAGAGTGATGATATTTAGCCAGTAACATGCTGGGATGAAGGGCTACCAAGTTTGTTCAAATAAATGACCTTGAATCATATTCAAGGTCACTGGGGTCGAATATGTTAAAAACATTTAGACAACTTCTTCTGAATAACCAAGAGGCCTAGAGTGATGATATTTAGCCAGTAACATGCTTGGATGAAGGGCTACCAAGTTTGTTCAAATAAATGACCTTGACTTATATTCAAGGTCACAGGGGTCAAATATGTTTAAAACCTTTGAATAACTTCTGAATAACCGAGATAGCGAGGGTGATGATATTTGGCCATTAACATGCTTTAAAATAAATGTTTAAATCTTTAAATGATTTGTTCTGTATAACCAAACGGTACAGGGTGATGATATTTTGCTAGAAGCATGCTGGGTTGGAAGTCTATAAACTCTGTTCAACCTAATGTCCTTGTTCGACATTCAAGGTCACGGGCGTCAAATGTTTAAATCTTTTAATAGGTTCTTAGGAATCAAACACTGATATTCTGCCTGTAGTGTGAGATTAATACCAGAAGAGCGATTCAGGCCCATTGGGCCTCTTGTTTGTCCATGTCATATGATGATAGTGTGACATCACATGCAGGGTTTTATTTTTTCATGGAAGCCTGATCAAGCACATGCTATCAAAGTTTAAACTGAGTGGGAAAAAAAACATGGAAAGTTTATTAAAATACATTTCATTTCATCAGTTGGTTATAAAAACGATACATTGTGATATTTCATCAAACTGAAAAATATTTTTTAGACCTTATTGAACTTCTCAAAAGCAGTCAAAATACTGGAGTATCAATTTTACACTTGTATGGAGACCAAGTATGTATATTAACAATGTTGTTATCGTAAAATTATTTCAAGATGCATTTAATTTTATGTTAATGTTAATTGTTTTTGTTTATTTCTAATGCTTTCCTTCTGTCGTAATATTTTACTGCCCTCAGATATGAGATAGGGCAGTTACAGCCTCCGGTACATAGTACCACCAAATCATTGAATTTAGATGATGTTAAACCAGTTTTGCACAGGTTGGAAGTAAATATGCCTCAATATGAATGTTTATGTTACTAGATTAGTCAGTATCCTAAATTGTACAAAATGCACTGGTAATTATATCCTTTAAACATTTGAACTGTTTGAAGCCTATTATACTGACTGTTTAAGATATTTGCTTACAGAGATGTAACCTTTTGATGTCAGGATACCTGTAGATAGAGAACCAGTAACATAGTGATAGATATTATAGGCATTCACCAGAACATGTATTGTAGAGCTATCATACCTAGCTACAGACTTGTGGTGACCACTAGCCTAGGTCTGTAGACTTATGGTGACCACTAGCCTAGGTCTGTAGACTTGTGGTGACCACTAGCCTAGGTCTGTAGACTTGTGGTGACCACTAGTCTAGGTCTGTAGAGTTATGGTGACCACTACCCTAGGTCTGTAGACTTATGGTGACCACTAGCCTAGGTCTGAAGACTTGTGGGGACCACCAGCCTAAGTCTGTAGACTTATGGTGACCATTACCCTAGGTCTGTAGACTTATGGTAACCACTAGCCTAGGTCTGCAGACTTGTGGTGACCACTACCCTAGGTCTGAAGACTTATGGTGACCACTACCCTAGGTCTGAAGACTTGTGGTGACCACTCCCCTAGGTCTATAGACTTGTGGTGACCACTACCCTAGGTCTGTAGACTTGTGGTGACCACTACCCTAGGTCTGTAGACTTATGGTGACCACTA